GAGGTTTTCCAGGTTCATGGTTAAAGAAAAGTTTAGAATTTGCAGAAAATATGATGTAGCTGCAAAACGGGAAGTGAGTATTGTATTATTTGGACTTATTTATTGTGAAGTAGATTCTCAAACCAAGACTCATCCTGGAAAGCGGGAGTCATGGCAACGGCAGGATTCATGGATGCTTCCAAAATGTTCATATTCTCTACAGTTCATTTTAAAAACCTCTTTAAACTGTTAAGTCTATAAAGAAGTGTGGTTCCATCTGCTCATACTGTGTGACGTGATTTATTTGATTTATTATTGTGAGATCAATAAAGTTTAAATGATTGTTGATGGTATTTTCCCGCAATGAAACTATTGGTTCAAAACGACGTTATTATTATTTTATTATTCTTACTTTTAATTTGCTACGTGCACAGAGAGGCTTGTTTACTTCCTGTCTGTGCTAACGCTATGGCCTGTGTAAAGTCTATCTATAATATCTATAGCAGTAACAGTAGATACATGTTTAGTAAAGACTAACCTTTGATCTTAAAGGTGCTCTGTGTAAATTTTTGCAGTTGCTCCAAACGAAAAAAACATTTCAACCAAAAACAAATGTGACCTTTTTAAGAATATTTGCCACCACCGTGTTTTTAAATTCTTGTCATAAGGTTTAGAATGTGAGTTATGAATGTGCACGAGGCGGAGGACTCTCTGTGTGAATCCGCCATCTTGGAATACAGTGGCTGATAAGGGACAAAAAGGAGATTGAGCAGGAGTTGGAAGTATTGTCCTGAGAACGCGTGAGTCGTGTGGTCCTCTGTGTTTTTATTTTATTTTATTTCTATTTATGGTTTTAATCCGTTTTATATATTTTTATTCTTTTTTTACTTGGTGAAGCTAAGGATAAGTTGTTATTGATTTTATACTTTTTTGTGCAGCACTTTGGAAACGTAACTGTTGTTTAAATGTGCTATATAAATAAAGTGGATTGGATTGAGAAGCCACCGTAGATTACAATGTATGATCTCAATGCAAGACGGGAGTGAAAACTACACAGTGACCTTTAAGTAAACGGTCCATTACCTAAATATGTGTGTGTTCATGCTTTATTAACATGAATAAGAATGTATTTGTTTTTTGTTATCATCCTTAGAAAACATAATATTGAGCCGATTGATCAAAGCTAAAGTTAAAGACACCTCCTGATGAAGGTATGGTCTGAAAACTATCATGTAGCTAACCTCAAGCTAACGATCCCAGACTTCCATGTAGCAGAAACCACAAAGTAGGATCCCAATGGCCTGAATATTTAGCGATTAATTAAAGGATTATTCCATTTTAAACATGAATTAATGTAATGTCCATCTCCGTTTTGCAGTTTGCCCGAAATAAATCCTCATTTACAAAAGTAGAAGTAAAATAATTGCGGCAAAACAGAAGATTTTAAGCAGCAGAACTTTCCGTTTCAATGATTGTAAGTTAAACATTATCTTTTGGACTTCCAGCCTCCAAAACACACCGTCCCGAAGTGATGAAGAGGAGAGAAGGTCGAGGGGAAACCAAACGTCAACAATAAATAAATAGTGAGATCCACTATGTTTACCCTGTGTCGATGATGTGCTAAAAAGGAACTTTAAGGTGTCCGACAGTTTGTTCAGAGACGTCCACGGCTACGGCTACACCTGTCGGCGAGCGGAGGCAGCTAGCTTAGCCCGCCTCCTCGCTACAGCTAGCTCCGCTCAGACAACAGCGAGCTAGCTTTGGAGAGAAAACCCTGTGAAAAACACCATGAGAAGGGAAGTGTGGACGGACCTGTGTGCGCTGGGACCCGTCTGTGGGGGATTGTGGGTAATGTAGTCCAAACAGAGGTTGAGCCACAGACAGGAAGTGGGCTGGGGGATGAGCTAGCGAAGCAGCACGGCACGGTTCGGCTAACGTTAGGTCTGATATGGCTTAAGTATGTGGTCATTTCTGTGGTTTTGTTCGTGTTTGGGGAATCTTAAAGTGCATGAGACAAGACGTTTCACAAACATTATACACTTTTTATCTTGGATTTAGTTTTTATCGGTGATAGAGGAGGGTCTCGGGTCAGGGACGATCCAGGACCTTTAAAGACATCGGTAAACTAGTTTTCCAATGGACCAATGACTCTTAGAGGTTTTATTTATCATTAGTTTAGGCGAGTATTCTTTCAATTATTGGATTTGGTTTTTTTTGGTTTTTTTTATCCATGGAAAAATGATTTTGTTCTAATACATTTGGCAAACCACAGCTAAAAACATCTTCGTATCTTCATATGACTCAATGTAACTTAACTGTTTGATAAGAATTACTTTTTACAATTTATTACTTAATATAATTTGCCTGATGAAGGTCTCGGGACCAAATTTATTTTTTTTAGGACAGCAGTGTGCGGGAACCACTATTTACAATCTATTCCCTGTCATTCAGGGGCCTCTCAGTGGGAGCCAGAGACCTTTTCTCACATGTTTTGGTCCCGGTTCAAAAACCACTGATTACATTGAGTAGACTCCTGTTAGTGCCCAGAGTCAGAACTAAACATGGGGAGGCTGCTTTTCAGATTCATGCTGCTAAAATCTGGAACAGTCTTCCTGAAGATGTGAGACAGGCCTCCTCAATGACAATGTTTAAAACCAGGTTAAAGACAGTTCTATTTAGCTGTGCTACAACTGAGGGATTTTATATTTGTATCTTTCTTTTTAATGTTCTGTGATTATTTATGATTTTAATGCTTTCTTGTTTCGTTCAGCACTTTGAATTGCCTTGTGTATGAATTGTGCTATATAAATAAACTTGCCTTGCCTTGCCTAGTTTAATCAGTCGTTTAATAACTGCTTAAATAATCCTTGTTGTTGTGATGAACTTGTTACAGTCCTAGTTTTACTGTTGTAGCGACTGCTGTTGTGATCCTTAACAAAAATACATGTAACTCCGCAATATATATTTTTGAAAGATTGACATTAAAGCATTTATAGTGTATATTGTTGCGTGGACGACTGTCCTGTCAGTGCGCTGCAACACTGACATTTCTTAGTCTTTCTTATCTACATTGGTTTGATAACTTTATAATGTCACTTCCTGGTTGGACAGTGTGACAAAATAGACGCAGTTACCAAGGCAACCACGAAGTAAACAAAGTCCAAAGCTGCCAAAGAAACTGCGATTCTTGTACGTACTTTGTTTTAATTTCCGTATTATACTTTTATTTTATATTATGGACTTTTTATCCTCCATTATGTAGTCAGAGTCTGAAACTTGACTGATTTGAAGAAGTGACCTGTGATCTGCACTTTAAGCTGCCATTTTGAAACACACAAATTTTAAAGTTACCACATTTTGTCCCATTTCAGGTCTAATGACTAGAGGGAGACCAGAGGGAGACCAGAGGGAGACCAGAGAGAGACCAGAGGGAGACCAGAGGGAGACCAGAGGGAGACCAGAGGGAGACCAGAGAGAGACCAGAGAGAGACCAGAGGGAGACCAGAAAGAGACCAGAGAGAGACCAGAGAGACCAGAGGGAGACCAGAGGGAGACCAGAGGGAGACCAGAGAGAGACCAGAGAGAGACCAGAGAGAGACCAGAAAGAGACCAGAGAGAGAGACCAGAGGGAGACCAGAAAGAGACCAGAGAGAGACCAGAGAGAGACTAGAGAGAGACCAGAGGGAGACCAGAAAGAGACCAGAGGGAGACCAGAAAGAGACCAGAGGGAGACCAGAGAGAGACCAGAGGGAGACCAGAGAGAGACCAGAGAGAGACCAGAGAGAGACCAGAGAAAGACCGGAGAGAGACCAGAGAGTCTGGTTCCCACTGTGGCCTCTTGCACATGTATTCCAATGGGGTTTTACTGCAAATAGCAAATCAAATGATCTGAATCTGATTGTTAGCGTGTAATGAGGTTGAATCCGTGCCGTACTGCTGAGAGCTGAAGAGGAACAGGTAGATCAGGGCAGAGGCGGAGCCAGAGGGGAGCACCCAGGGGCACTGCTGAGGGGGGGCCGGGGGGCTGAGTGTGTGTGTGTCGTTAATCTAAACAAAAGCAGATATTAAAATCTCTTTTACTGCAATACGAAAGTTACTCCACCAGATAATTGAATCTGGATCTAAATCTACTGGTAACAAGTAATTATTCAGGAGAATTTTTAAAAACCTAATTGATCTGAAACAGAGTCCGAGGAGTTTCAGATCTCTGGGTCCTAGTGCTGCTCAGGTTCATGTCGGGTGGAGAAAGTAAGAATAACTTTTTGCAGAGTGTGGTGAAATGATGTCACATGATGTGGGTGTTGTGCTTGTGGCGGTGGCAGTGCAGACGGCCCCCTCAGAGCGCCCCCTGCTGGGCCTCTGCCCCTGCTGCTGTGTGGACCACAGCCTGACCACAGTCCGTGCTGCGTTCCAGTCCCAACAGGTCAGTTTCAGCATTTATTTTATGGATTCATGATTTGAAAACTATGAGAAGATCAGAAAATCCAACATGAGTTGTTTGGTGGAAGTTTAAAGGTATACAAGAGGATTTTCTACTTCCGGGTGGATCATCAACACTATTGGTCCTCCCAAATGTCAATCATTCTGTTTATACGTCCTTGTCCTATAAGAGCAGAGAGTTTTGTTCAAAAAGTAGAAAGGGCGGTTCTTTCCTAAAATATGGGAAAATCCTCCTTTATACCTTTAAGATCCGCCATTTTGAATATTGAGGAGAAGACAGTAGTGACTTTGGAACAGGTGGAACGCAGCAGGACTCGTGTCTGACCGCAGCAAGACCACAGCAGGACTACAGCAGGACTAGGGTCTGACCAGAGTCTAAGGTCTGACCAGGTCTAAGGTCTGACTAGAGTCTGACCAGAGTCTGACCAGAGTCAAAGGTCTGACTAGAGTCTGACCAGAGTCTAAGGTCAGACAGGTCTAAGGTCAGACTGGTCTAAGGTCAGACTGGTCTAAGGTCAGACTGGTCTAAGGTCAGACTGGTCTAAGGTCAGACTGGTCTAAGGTCTGACAGGTCTAACCTGCTACAGGTGCGTGAGTTTGGGTGCTTCCTGGATTCTGCCCTGAGAGGAGTGGTGCGCCGACAGCTCGGTGTAGGTAGCGTGTGTGGGGGGGTCACAGGCCCCGCCCACATGGTGCTGGTTGGCCATGGGCCCCGCTCCGTTATAGTCCATGGTCTGGTGGAGGGGGGGCGTGGGGCCCAGGTGGTTGAGAGCGTACATGGAGGGCCCGGACCCCCCCATGGGCTCCTGGACGTAGCCCCCTCCCTGCACGTACACCGGGCTGGCCTGCATGCTCGGCGTGCCGTAGCCGCCGCTGTTGCTCTGTACTAATCCGTGGTGAGGGGGTCGTAGTCGGGGTCCGGGGCCCCGTACTTCTGCTGGGGGGGGCAGCCCTTCATGGGGACGTTGGAGTAGGCAGTGGACATGGAGTAGGACACTCCCTGGTGCTTGTTGAAGGAGGGGGGGGACGGGGCGTCGTAGCCCCCGCTCATGGGGTGCATGGAGTTGAGGAAGCCGGCGGTGGACTGCATGGTGAGGGGGGGGAGCCGGTGGGGGACGGGCCCCCTGAGCTGGAGCTCAGGCCCTTGGACTTCTGGTCCTTCTTGTACTTCATGCGGCGGTTCTGGAACCAGATCTTGATCTGTCGCTCCGACAGGTTGAGCAGGTTGGCCATCTCCACGCGCCGCGGTCGGCACAAGTAACGGTTAAAGTGGAACTCCTTCTCCAGCTCCACCAGCTGCGCGCTGGTGTACGCCGTGCGCGCTCGCTTCGACGCCGCAGACGAGCCTCCGGTCGGACTCTTCTCTCCAGGACTGGCACTGTCGCCGGGGGCAACGGAGGCTAAACACACAGAGACAGGATTTAATACCACACCACACATAAGTTCACAGACACACACACAGACACACACATAGACACAAACACACTCACAGACACACCCACACACATACAGAGACACACACACACACATACAGAGACACACACACACACACACACACACACACACATAGACACAAACACACTCACAGACACACACACATACAGAGACACACACACACACAGACACACATACAGAGACACACACACACAGAGACACACACACATACAGAGACACACACGCACACAGACAGTCTCACACACACAGAGAGACACACACACACACACACACACAGAGAGACACACACACATAGACACAAACACACTCACAGACACACACACATACAGAGACACACACACAGAGACACACACACACACACACACACACATACAGAGACACACACACACAGAGACACACACACATACAGAGACACACACGCACACAGACACACACACACACACACAGAGAGACACACACACACACACACAGAGACATGCACACACACAGAGACACACACACACACACAGAGACACACACAGACCCAGTTAAATATCAAGTGTTGAACATTATTTATTTAAGAAAAATTGAGACAAATGGTTTGTGTTTGTTCTTCATTTGTAGGAGCCAATCAGAACGCAGCGTCAGAAGAGCCTGGACCAATGAGAGGAGACTAGAGCGAGAGCAGTGAGTGATTGGACGTGAGCGTGGAACCTGTGGGCATTGAGCTTGTTAATAAACCGCGGGGTCCGGCTCTGGATTAAACTGATATTAGTTGTCGACACTTCATAAAGTGTCAGTTATGAGCTAGGGCCGGAGGCGGCGCGGAGCTGCGTGGGCTGTGGCCCCCCCTCAGCGCCGCAGGCTCCCGGCTGCACAGGGAGCTTCATTAGGAGCAGACACATGTGGAGCTGAGGTCACGGTCAGTCTGACGGATTACAGTCTTAGTTTAGGAAGCGGATTTACTCAGGCCATGTACATCTTTATTTTTATGTCTTTGACCAGTTTTACGTTTTTTTGGAACTAACTTTCTCTAGATGTAAACCCCAGCAGGTGGGTTGCATCAGTAATCAGTGTCACGAGAAGATTCCAGCGGCAAAGGAGAATGAGGCAGAGGCAGGAGGGTCTAAGGACATTTCTGGACCGTGCTGATCCCGCTCCCTCTGGGCCGATGTGTCTGATTCTCTGATCTGTTGTTGGTGAATCGACAGCTTCAATCATTCACTGAATTGAGTTGAATGGAAGAGTGCACTTCCTTCTGTCTCTTTAACAATGAACTAAAATGTCTTTTCAACTGAGTCTAAAAAGGAATTTAGGAGTGGGGAGGTTTGTTTTATTATGTGGATTTGTTATTGAGAATATGAGGGTAGGTGTATATGTATTATTTAATATGATTGTTATATTTAATAAGGGTAGGGAATTATTTTTGTTTGGGGTTTGAATGAGTTATGTGTTTAGTAGATTGTTAAGTTTTGGTTAGGTGGATTTAGGGTGTTTGGTTTGGTTGTGATAGTATTATGTGTGTATGAAGATAGTATAAGTAGTGTATGTGAGGGTTAGTTGGTGGTGTGATTTTATTTAAGTTGGTTATTGGGGGTTTTATTTTATTTGTGTTTGGTGTTGGTGGGTGTGGGATTTGTTTGAGAGGAGATGAGGTGAGAGATTGTGAGAGTAGTGTGATGAGAGATGAGAAAGTAAAAGAGAGTATGTGAGAGTGAGATGATGTAGAAGAAGAGTTGTGGGTGAGAGAGTAGAGGAATGTGATAGAGAGAGTGAAGATGTAGAGAGAAAGGAAGAGAAGAGATGTGAAGATGAGATAAAGAGAGTTAGAGAGAGAGTGTATGTTGATTGTGAAATGTGAAGTTGGGGGATGAGATTAGATGGGAGAGAGTGTGTGAGATATGTAAGTTTGTTGTTGTGAGTTTTTTTTGGAGTGTTGTGATGTTTAGTTGTTGTGTGTGTGTGGAGTAGAGAGTGATATGATTAGAGAGAGAGTGGAAGAGTGATGTAGTATGAGTGTGTGGAAGTAAGAGGTGTTAGTATATGAAGATGTGTGTGTTTTAGAGTGAGTGAGTGGAGTTGAGAGATGTAATTGTGTGTTGTTGAATCAGATAGTGTGTGTTTGATTGGGTTTTGTGTGTGTGTTGTGTGTGTTTGAGTTTTGTTGTTGTTGTTGTGGTGAGATATGTGTTGTTAGTTGTTGTAGTGAGAGAGATAGAGAGTGTGATTTGGAAGAGTATAGTGAAGAAGAGTAAGTATGTTGTGTTAGTAGATAGTAGTAGATGTGAAGTAGATGAGAAGTGAGAGGTTGAAGTGTATGAGAGGTGTGAGTAATTGAGAAGTTGAGATGAGAAAGAGAAAAGAAGTGATTTGTTGTTATATTGAGTGAGAAGTAGTTTGTAGAGAAGAGAATTTAAGTGAGATAGAGAAGAATTGGAGAGAGATGAGAAGAGAGAGAGAGAGAAGAAGAGGGAAGAAAGAAGAGATAGAGTAGAGTGTAGATAGAATGAGTGATTGAGTGAGATAGAGAAGGTAGAGAGAAGTGAAGATGAGAAGTGTAGAAGATGTGGAGAGAGAGAGTAGAGAGAGAAGAGATGAGAGATTTGTTTGTAGTTGTGTGTAGTGTGTAGTGTAGGAATGGTTAGTTGAGTTAGATAATAATAGTTTTTGAATGGGGGAAGAGAGTGAAGTGGGTGTGGGTTGTGGAAGATGGAGTTTGTAATTATATTTAGTAGTAGGAGGTTGGTGAAAAGTGGGTGAAAGATTTTGTTTAATTATAGATTAATGTTTGGTATGAAGGAGATATTGGGAGGGGGGGAGGAAGAGGAGAATTAAATGGAGTTAAAAAAGTTGTGATTGATAATGATTTAGAAAAAGAAGTAAATATAGGTGTTGGATGTATAGAATTTATGGTGTGATGTGGGTTGGGTGGGGTGAATTTATATGAGTAAGTGGTAATTTGTATTTTATGGGTGATGTGATTTGGGGGGGTGGGAGGGAAAAGATAGGTTTTGAGAGGTAGGGAGAGAAGATATTATTATTAGGTTTTTTGTTGTTAAGTTTTTATTGGAAGTGGATTGGTTTTTTGGTGTTTGATTAGTTTGAGGGAAAGGTTGAGGGATTTGGGAGGGTTGTTTAAAGTATGGATTTTGGTAAGATGGGATGGGTTGTTGTTGATGTGTGGGGTGGTGGGTTGGAATAAGGGGTTTTGTTTATGATAATTTTATTTAATCTTTTAAGAGTGGATAGATAGTAAATAGGCAGGGGGTGGGGAGGGTATGAGTTGATTATATTTTAAATGTTTATTTAGTAGTGGGGTTAGGTGGGAATATTTTGTTGTGGGTAGATTGTTTTATGATGTTTGGTTTGTTTTATTGTGGGGATTTGTGGTTTTTGTGGGATGTTGTGGGTGTTGGTTGGGGGGTGTGTGGTGGTTGTTGGGTTGTTTTGTGGTTTTTTGGTTGTTTTGTGTTTTAGGTTTTTATTGTGTTTGTTGGTTTGTGTTAGTGTTTTGGTGTGGGTTGTTGGGGTGGTGGGTTTTTTTTGGGTTGTTGGTTTTTTGTTTTTTTTTTTTGGGGGGTGGGTGGGGTGTTGTTGGTTGGGTTGGGTGGGGTGTTTGTTATGTTTTTTTTTTTTTTGTTTTTTTGTTTGATGGTTTTGGTTTTTTGTGGTTTATGGTTTTATTTGTTTTTTGGTTTGTTTTTGTGTTGTTTTTTGGGGGGTGGGGGGTTGTTTTTGTTTTATTGGGGTTTTTGTTTTGTTGTGTGGGTTGGTTTTTGTTTTTTTTTAGGTTGTGTTGTGTTGGTTTGTGGTGTTGGTGGTGGTGGTTGTGGGTGTTGGGGTTTGGTTGGGTGGTGGTATGTTGTGGTGTTTGTTTTGATTTTTGTGTTTTGTTTTTTGTTGTTGTTGGTTGGTGGGGGGGTTGGTGTTTTGGGGTGGTGGGGTTGGGGGTGTGTTGGTGGGTTTTTTTTGTTTGGTTGTTTTTTTTGGTGGTTTGAGTGTGTTTTGGATGTGTGGTTTTGTGTTGTTTGTTTTTTTTTTGTGTTTTTTTTGTTGTATTTGTTTTTTTATGGTTTTTTTTGTGTTGTATTTTATTGGGGGATTGTTGGGTGGTGGTGTTGTAGGTGGGGGGTTGTAGGTGGGGTTTTGTTGGAGGGGTGTGTTGGGGTTGTGTGGTTAGGGTTTGTGTTTTGGGTATGGTGGTGGTGGGTTGGGTTATGTGTGTTTGTTGGTGTGTGGTATGGTGGTGGGTTTGTGGGTGTGATGGGATGTGGGGGGGGATTAGGAGTTGATTATAGATAGGGGGGAAAGGATTATGGATAGTGGGGTTTGAATATGTTTGTATATTAATTAATTAAGATTGTTATTTTTATAATTAATGATAAATTTTAGATTTGGTAGTTTGGGTTGTTGTGGGGTGTGGTGTTATTGTTATTTTAGTGGGTTTTTTATTATTTATATGTGTGAATGGAAGATTGGTGTTTGTATGAGTGTGTTGTGTTGTTTAATTGGTAGGGTTAGTTTGTGTTGAGTGTTGAGGGTGTGTGGAGTTTGTGATGGTTGAGGGTAGGTTTTGGGGGATTTAATTGGGGGATTGAGAGGGGTTTGGGGGTTGGGATGTTAAAGGGATTTATTAGGGGGGGTTTGGTTTAGATGAGGATGATGGATTTAATGGTAGGGGAAAGGGGGGAGTGATTATTTATATTGAGTTAAGGGGTAAGGTTGAATATGGGTTATAGATGAGGGGTGGGGGGGGGAAGGAGATTAATGATAGTGTGTTTTGGTGAGGTGTGGGTTGAAATAATTTTGGATGGTGAGGATGGGGGTTTGTTAGGGATGTTGTGTGATTGGAGGGTGGGGTGGTTTTGGGATTGTTGTTGTTATATATGGGTTGTGGGGATGGGGATTATTAGATTATTGAGAGTTTAGGGTGGGTAAGTAGTATTTGATTTATTTGTTTATATATTATATATAGTGTGTATGGTAGATAAGATTTTTTTTATTGATTTTAATTAAGGTTGTTTTTTTGTTGTATGTTGGGGTTATTTAATGTTGGATTAATTGTTGAGTTGTGTGGGTTATGTTTTTTTTATGATTAGGGTTATGGGTTAATGATTATATTATATATGTGGTTGTGTATGAGGTAGTGGTATGGTTAGTGATGTGTTTGTTGTTTTATATTTTTGAGGTAGGGTAAGGGGAGAATTTTTGAGATTGGGGAAGTATAATAGAGGTTAATTTGGTGAGATAGTAGAATTAATTTTGTTATGAGAAGTAGGAGGGAGAATGGTTTAGAAATGTGATGGAAGTATGTAAGGAGTATGGGTTTAGAGGATGGTGATGGAATGTATTTAAGGAGTAATTGTTTAGAGAATTGATTGGGAAGTAGGTAGAAGGAGTAAGGGTTTAGAGGGGAATGTTGGAGAGTTTGAAGTGGAATGTTAGAGATTGGTTGTGTTTGGTAGAAGGTAATGGGGTTAAGGAAGTTTGAAGTATGGGTAGAGAGGTTATGGTTTAGAGGTATGGTGATAGTGGAAGTAGGGATGTGGTTTGTTTAAGAATGTTGATGGAATGGTATGTAGAGTGGTAATTTTAGAGAAGGATGGGATGTTTGTAGAGGAGTATTGGTTTAGAGGAAGTGTTGATGGAAGTATGTTGAGGAGGTATTGGTTTAGAGGTATGGTAGGAAGTATGGTAGTGGTGTAATGGGTTTAAGGAATGTGATGGGAATATGGTAGGGATGTATGGGTTTAAGGTAGGTTGGGAAGTATTAAGTAATGGGTTAAGGAATGTGGAATATGGGTGAGGGTTATGGTTTAAGGGGAATTTGATGGAAGTAGTGGTAGAGGAGGTGTAATGGTTTAGTGGAATTATGGGATGTTTATGTAAGGAGGTAGTATGGTTTAGAAATTATGGAAGAATGGTTTAGGAGGTAATGGGTAGAGGAATTTGATGGGAAGTATGGGAGAGAGGTATGGTTAGTGGATGGTGTTGGTAGTTGGGTAAGGATGGTTTTGGTTTAAGGAATGGATGGAGATGATGTAGTAGTGAAGTTGTTGGGTGAGTGGAATTGAATTATTTGATGGTATAGGGGTGTGGAGTTGTTTTGGGGTTTGGGATGGGGGGGATGTGGTTGTGTTTTTTTGTGGTGGGTTTGTTGTGGTGGTTTTTAGGTTAATTGGTTGGGGTGGTTAGGATTAATTTGGGATAGGATAATTAGTTGGAGATTTTTGGGAGTTTGAGTAGTGAGTTTAGTAGTGTGAGTTTGGTAGTTATAGATAAAAGTGGATGTAGTGTTGTTAGTTTGTTGTGTGGGATTGTGTGTGGTGGTTTTAGTATTTAGTTTTGTTTGTAGTATATTAGTTTGGTTTGTTGTGGTGGGTTTAATGTTGGTTTTGTTGGAAGTTGTAAGTTGGTGGGTGAGATATGTTATAAGTTATAGAAGGATTATTTATTGGTAGGTGTTAGATGATTTTTTGTTTGGATTGATGTAAGTGATTATTTTTTTATGATTTTTAATGTTTTTTTTGGGTGAGTTAATTTTTTGGGTTGGGTTTTGTTTTTTTTTTTTTGGGATTGGGGGTTGTTGGTTGTTTATTTTTGGGTGAGTGGGTATAGGGATTTATGAATTGGATATGGTAGTTTTTTGTTTTTAGTTGTTGTTGTTTATGTGTGAGTTTTGATGGTGTGTGTTGTTGTGTTTGTTGTGTGTTGGTTGGGGTAGTTTGTTATTGGATTTTTTGGTTGGTGGGATTTGGTTAGTTTTTTTTGGGTTTGGTTGTATTTTGTGAGTGGTGGGGTTTATGGTTTTTTTATGTTATTGGGTAGTGGTTTTATGGTTAATTTTTTGATTGGTGAGTGTTTATGGGTTTGTTTTTGTGTATGTTGTGGGTTATGGTGTTGTTAGTTTGGGTGGTGTTTTTTTTTGTATTGTGTTGGGTGAGTGTGTATATGATATATTTATTATTTGGGTAGTGTTTTTTTTGGTTAATAAGGATTTGGGTGTGGGTAGAAGGGATATTTTATATGTTGGGTGGTGTAGGTTGTTTGGATGGGAGGTTTATGGTGTAGGGTATTTTTGGAGGGGTAGTTTGTGTGTTTTTAGGGTTGGGGGTGTAGGTGTGATTTTGGGTGTGGGTGTTTTTATGGTGGATGTTTGGGGTTGGGTTTGTGAGTATTGATGGGGTTGTGATGTGTGGTTTGGTGATGGTTTTTGTTTTTGTTGTTTGTGTTGGTTTTGTTTGTGGTGGGGTTTTTTTTGTTGTGTGTGTTTTTGTTTGTGTTTTTGTTTTGTTTTGTGTGTTTTTGTTTTTAGTGTGTTTTTGTGTTGTGTGTTGTTTGTGTGTTGGTTTGTGTTTGTTGTTGTTGTTGTGTGTTTTGTGTGTTTGTTGTTGTTGTTTGTGTTGTGTTTTTGGTTGTTTTCTTGTGTGTTTGTGTTGAGTGTGTTGTGTTTGTGTATTTTTTTTTGTTTGTTTTTGTTTTGAAATGGGAGTAAAGAGAATGTTATATGTGTGAGTTAGTTGATTGTTGTTTTTAATGTGAGTAGAGTGGAGTGAGTGAGAGGGTGATGTATGTGGGGTTTTTTTTTAGTGTAATATGGGGAATTTTTATGGAGATTGGTTGGATATTTTGTGTGTGGTTTTTGATTTTGTTTTGTGTGGGAGGTTGATGTTAGGGGGGTAGGTGTATTGGGGAGATATTTGGGTAAGAATAGATGATTTTGGTATGATAATATGGTAGGATAATTGGATATGATTAGAAATGAGTTTGATTTTAGGGTATGATTATAGGGTATGATAATTGGGTATGATAATAGGGTAGGATAATTGGTATGTTTGTTGTAGATAATGGATATGATTATTAGGGTATGATTATAGGGTTATATATAGGGGGTAGATAATTGGATGATAATGGGGTAGGATAAATAGGGTATGTTAATAGGATATGATTAAGAGGGTATGATATTAGGGTATGATAAGAGGATATGATAATAGATATGATTATGAGGATATGATAATGGTGTGATGTTTGGGGGAGGATGTTGATGTGGTAATGGAGTATTTATGTAAGGAAGATTAGTTGGAGAGGAAAGGGTGGGGGGTGGATATTTTTTGTATGTTGGTATGTGGGAAAGAAAAAATTATAGGGATGTTATGGTTATGTTTATTATGTGGGTTTTGGGGTTATGGTGTGGGTTTGGTTTGTGTTTGTTGTGTGTAATTTATTATTTGTTGTGTGTTGGGGTGAGGTTGTGGGTGGTTTTTGTTTTGGATGGGGATTGGTGTAGAGTGTGTGGGTTATGGGGGTGATTTATGGGTAGATATATAGATAGGGAATGATTATTGGTTGTGGAGAAGGTGATAATGGAAATTTTTGGAGAAAATTGATTTGTGTGGGTTTATTGTTGGATATATTAATTGAAAGAGAATGGGTATTTTTGGATGGTATGTGATGGTGAGTGTGGTGTGTTTGTTGTTGAGGGGTGGTGTTGGTTGTGTTATTATTGGGGTATTGGTTGTGGGGTGTTTGGGTTTGGATGGTTGGTAGTTATGTGTTTGTTTTTGTTGTATTTATATATTTTTGTTGTTGTAAGTGTAATTTTTTAATTTTGGTTGTTTTTGAGAGTTAGAGTATGTTTTTTTGTATTAGGTGTGGGTTAGTGTTTTATTTAGGATGGTATTTTAAGTAGGGATGTTTTGGTGTGTTTGATGTGGGGATGGAGTGTTTATTGGGTTGTTTGTTGTTTTGTTTAGTTTTTTGAAAGTTTAGAGTTAGAGAGTTTAAGTAAGAGGGAGGTTTAGAGTTAAGAGGGAGGTTTTAGAGTTAAGAGGAGGGTTTAGGTTTAATGGAGGTTTAGTTTAAAGGGAGGTGAGAGTTAAAAAGGTTTAGAATTTAATGGAAGGTTTAGATTTAAAGAGGGTTTAGGTTTAGAGATGTGTAGTGTTTTGGGTGTAGAGTTTTGAGTGTTTTTGGTAGTGTGTATTGAAGAGGTTTAGAGTTATAGGAGTGTATAGTTAAGGGAGGTGTAGAGTTGAAGGAGGGTTTAGAGTTATGAGGAGGTTAGAGTTGTAGAGGAGGTTTAGATTATGGAGGGTTTAGATTAAGGAGGTTTAGATGTTAAGTGTTAGTTGGAAGTGTTTAGTGTATATGAGTTTAGTTTGATGTAGGTTGAAGTTGATAGAGGAGTTTAGATTGAGAGAGTTTTTTTTTGAGGTTGTTGTGTTAAGGAGGTTTAGAGTTTAGGAGTAATGTTAAAGTGGTTTAGTATTTAAGGAGGGTTAGAGTTAGAGTA